TAGTAGTTTGAAGAATTTTGTAGTTTTCAACTTTTCATCATCAAAATTGGAGATACAAGTTTGGTTCAGGCTCAGGTCTTCACTCTTCTTGATCAATCTGGTCAAAAGACTCCCACCAAGAAACAGGTCCCAAACCATCATCATCTATATTCCCCTGCACATTTCACAACATTGCTTACTCGATCAAGTAAGGAACAATTCTGGAGGAGGAATCAGGATGCTTATTATACATACAAGTGGAAAAGCTTCAGATAACGAATGAACTTACAGTGACCACCATAGGAGCAAAAGGCTTCGCATCCTCTGCTCTCTCTGTTGGAACCGATGGATAGCTGATGCTCTCAACTCGGAACTTGATCTGCCATTTACAACGCCACAGTTATAAAAAAAAAGAGGCCACTTTCGAAAATTTACGCCTAAAGAGAAATTGATTATCGAACCACAAAAGTTAACCTGACAGGAATCGTCGATAATATAGTCCTCTTTCGGTTTTCCAAATTCCCACACCCATCTCTTCTGATTCCTGACATAAAAGCATGATACAATGTGATCCAATGAAATATAAAGATATAGGTAGGTACAAGCTCCTACTCATAGTTGAAGAGCTCGAAATCTTCCTTAAACTGCAGGACACATTTGAATCATACCTATTATAAGGGTCAGGCTCACAGCGGTTGGGTGTCGGTATAAGTGGAGCAGGCACATAAATATCTTCAAAGAATCCAAGTGTTACTGCCCAAGTAAAGAGGTATCATAAGTATGTAAATGAATAACAAGAGCTAACTTATAAGTCACCATTATGTACCAGAGAAAAAAACTAACAATGCACTAGAGTAACAAAATGTACACAGTGGACAACATTTAGAACTCTTTCAAGGGAATTTATAATACTCACAGCGCAAGCCATTGGCATCAGATTCTTTGAACTTTGCAGCTATGACCTCACCAACAAATGGACGAAACACGACGATTCTAAAACCTACCTACAATCACAAACAGGAGATATATATTGTTCATATGATAAAAGAAGAGAAATGAGAAAAAGATTCGTAATTTGAATTGAATCTACCTTATAAGTCGCAGCACCAACCCCAGGTAATACAATCCCTCCTTCTACTGATTTAATGTCGTAAACAGATACACAAAGTCCCAAATCTGTTAAAACCTTGAATAACAAAAATCCAATTTGATCAAATTAGCCAATTGTATACATAATACAAGAAAAACACAAGGGCAATGAGCAAACCTTGTCCAAGAACACATTTTGAAGCACTGACTTAATGGCATCTTCGAGAGGAAGGTTAAGAAGATGAGGAGGAACTCTTAGTGTATGTTCGAGTTCGCTAAGATAGAACATTTCTGCAAAATTGTTCAAAAAAGTCACTGAAGTAGAATCCTTTAAGCTAAACGGATAAAAAAAAACAGAAGATTTGGGTAAATTACATACCAATCAAATCAATACTCAGCGTCGCAACGAAGACAGAGATTTCAGTCCCTGATTATATTTTTGTCACACACAATCCCCAAGTCAAATCTCGGAAAAAGTTCCCGCAAAAGAAGTAAAAAGCTTCCGGCAAACCAGTCTCGCCGGAGCAAACCGGGAGAGATATTCGAAGTCGAAGGGAAGCGAGGAGAGAAGAAACTCCAGTCTGATTGAGTGACTTGTCGATTTAAAAACCCTAAAACCTTGAGCCAGATACCTAGTTTTACGATTGTAAAAGAGTGTATATCAAAATTTACAGAACCAACCTTGTATTTTAGATATATTTTTTGTTTCAGACCAGACATTTTCTTTTATCTAATTAGAACCCAGAAGTTTTTGTTTTGCTCAATTTGGTTCACTAATAACTCGATGGAATTTAATTTACACATGAAAAGTCTCATCTTTACTTTAAACTTTACAAGAAACAGAGAGCAATATATTTTCACTTGTGTTCACC